ATGCGCGAGCTCTTGATAAGGGAAATAAATCCTTGCTCACTTCAAGATAGAGGCTATCGGTACTGTCTGTAACTTATACGTTGAAGGCCTATCCCATACCTTGTGTGACTGTGATACACATACGGTATTTTCATATTTTTTAACATAATATTCGGCTAATCACCAATGAGGTACCATGTGTAAATAAATTCATCACAGAAATTTTGAGGTTGCTAATATTTTTTCTGATCATAGTTGAAGACTTGTAAAACCAAGGATACACTGGGTGATAAGTGTCCCAAGACATGTATCGACGACTTGTCGAGCGAAGCCAGTCGATGTCCTTTTATATACGGTGATAACGCGCAACGTATGTACACAGTGACGTTGATGTTGCCAGATATGTCGACCAAAGTCCGGCAACATCACGCTACTTCACGTGACGTCACTGGCGACACGTGTCGCAAGACATTGGTCCCCTAGTGTATCCTTAGGTTTATGAGAAGGCAGAGACAAAGAAACGCATCTAGCTGACTCTTTTGTTTCATTTAAATTCATCAATCACATATAAGTTATATAACTCAGTGTACGGATGCGCCCTCAGCATCAGCTCTCATAGCACAGAAGCGCAGCGTTTGATAAATGAATAGAGAAGGCCATACCTCTCGCGGTATATAAATTGTAAGCTACCCACGGGAACGATGTGCAATGGACTTATCGTGTATAATAACTTAGTGCCTGTCCAAACTCCTGATGAAATACACTGGTTTTAATAAATATGACGGAAACTGAAGCGTTCTGAATAATACCAAGTCAATGTATGTATGATAAAAGTAATACTTTATGTATACAACTCACATCAAACACACCTTGACAACATTTAATCCTGCTTAAACTGTCAAACACCAAGCGGTCACCGGTGACCGCAACCTATTGTTCTATAATTGTGTCTACAAAACCGGTACTCGACGAGTTAAAATTGTAAAATTTACTTTTTAGGTTCTATAGTTTTTCAGTCAGAGACATCTTACAATCAAATCAAGAGTAGTTATTTAGATAACCTATAATTCGTTCACCTCGCTATTTTTATTTATTATACAATAAGTATTGCAATTTTACGACTTTATCGACAGGATATAGGTGTTATCCCAAGGCTATTTTACGCTCAACAAAAACTGATATAATTTATTGCAGATATCTTATTATTCCTATTTAGGTATCTACATAGAATCTATATTTTACGTAGATACCTGAGAGGATGATGTCTATATAGATACCTAATAGGTATATCACTAAGTATAAACAAAATAAAAATAAAGAGCTTTCTTTGGTCTCCACTCGTCATTATATTATCACTTCTTTACTCTTCAAATGAGAATTTTGTAACATTTTATTGTTACCCAAGTCATCTCGGTCCTCGATTCCTTTTTGCCATTCAAAGAAAAAAAGATTCGAATAAATAAATGTACCAAAGTTGAACACCTCTGGTGCGAAAGACGTTACAATCTTTATGGTCCCATTTACGCGTCTTATTTTATACGTAATCCATTAATTGCCGGGATCGGGACCTCTTTTTCAAAAGATTTTTTCCTTTTTTTATCCGACAAGCACCTGTGTCTAAAAGCGGACCCTTCGATGATTTCAATGACTGGTTATTTTTGTACAAATAGTATTTTTCGGTGGTTCAAATTTAGACTCTAGGTAGACGGGATTTGGGTTAAAAATGTGATGTTGAAAGTTGAGTTTTTAGTAAATCTTTTCTGATCGCGGAGTGAGAAGATGCGACCACTGACAGGGCAAAGTCGTGCAGGTAGAAAATCGATTGTTATTAGACGTCAGGGCTCCTCATAATAACATAAATATATTGTAAAGAATCGATTCTGAACAGAATGGGTGATCGAACGGCTACAAAGAATTCCATGTCAAATTAGCTTTATCATTTAGCTTTTGATGTATTGTGCAGATGTTTGGGCGCTTTTATACTCTATTGTTAAACGACAAGACATAGGTATCTTAACTATATTTATTAAGTAATTCGCCTACAAAAGTAACATTACGCTAACTGGCTGACCTATCTTTTACATCGTAAATCCAGTTTGGGTGAAAACACACGATAACTGTTGTTTACTCGGTGTGAAGTCACGTTTTCGATCAAAATTATTAATAATAATAGGTGTTATTTTGTTTTGCAGTGTTGTACCGGTTACCTGGGAGGTATCACACGGTTCCTTCATGCACATAAATTGCAATTAAGCTGTATGTCAGCTTGTCGCCCTGAACGACGGCTCACCTGCCTCTTGTACTCTCGGCTTTATTATAAATGTAATTATGAATTAAGGTCTGCAGGCAAATGTGATAAAATAGCTAAAACTGGTAATGTAGCTTTGACTTCAAGTGTAAAATGAATATTATTAAGATTATATCGCGAGGAATGTGTTCATATTTCATTCTCGAAGTTAAATTTAAAAGCTCATGTGATTCTAGATATCTTTATGTTTAAGAAAGATCTGAAAGTTCCAAATCTTAGGTAGGTACCCAATACCAAAACATTTAGTGCAGAACACGTTGCAGTGCACATTTAGAACATAGAGATGTACTTGTTTAAGCGCATATTTAAGACTGCGCTTATGAGAGTTGCAATGTAAGTACCAAGAAATACGACACAATTAGTTGTCCAACTCAGAAATCCAACACAGAATCAATTTCAACATAAGCTCCGTAAAAAATGTGTCAAAGTTCTATAGTAAGCAAATCTACCGTAAAAGGTGTGTGGACCAAATTAGCTAGCGAAAGCCTAGTTTACTTTTAAATTCTCAATTCCATGTGCTTGCTAGTATGACAACGCGTGGGCATTACCATTTACAAAGCACGGTAATTAATAGTCTATGTGTGACAGTTGTGAACGTTACACTGATTTATAGAACGCAGTGTTTATGGTACGAGTAGATGGCGCTCGTGTAGAACTGAGCGGCGCGAGAGATGGCCAGTACGCGATCGGGCTTGTAATGCAGGTTATAAATGAAATTGTTATTTCTGAGTTGAGCTGGATAAACGGTGTCTGGTTTCTTCGAAGTTGGATTTTTTATTACCTAAACGCAAAGACTGGAACCACGATCCCAGTGTACATGAGATTCATGGCACTAAATATCATGATCACCTGTATTAAAAGGCGTGACCCATTTTGTATTAGTCCTATAATATAATCAATTATCACATCAACCACAAGACAATCATTGCTAAACATAGGCGAGAGGCCTTCCAGATCGATTAGAAATTCCTATAAATGAAGATATTTATACCCTCCCAAGTAAAACCAACAAACCAAGGTTGGTACACGTATGTAGAGGTTATTGGAGTCTACTGATTTATAGACAAAGTTGTTCAAAAAGTCATCTAAGTTTTGTATCACTATTATATATTAAGTACTACTACCCAGAAGATAGTACCTAGCAATAGGCTCACCCAGTCACCCTCTATTGCATGGGACGCATACATCAATAGTGAAAAGTGGGTGTTACATTGTACAGTGGCATTAAGTGCCGTAATGTGCACCTCTGCGTTCTGTTTAAAAGGCGTGATGTTATGTTAATTATTACCTAGCCGTTAATCACGAAAGAAACATAGAACTTACTTAAAAATATATTATAAAATCGGTGGCAAGCCGTATCGCGTTCCGATCAGACAGAAGAAAGTACATCGGAGGCGGGATGATAGCGTCTGAGGCGCGGAGGCTGCAACCGGCCGAACCGGTCGCCCATTGTGGTCAGTTTTTGTACAAAACGCACGCACAACAACCTACCACTAACTGTCAAAAATCTTCAACACATTTTCAACTTTATCCTCCTCACTTTAAAATCGAAACTCCATAGAAGAAATTTGACAGTTCTGAGTAGCTTTATGTAGTCTGTACCTACCACGCCGCGCCCCACGACACCCGCTTTTTACCTTCGCCAAAATGTTCTCCATTCCTTGTGGTCAATTGATTTCATTTTTAATTGCTTTATATTTTAAGTCAATTAATAATTACTACTTAAGTAAAATATAATGTACAATACATTATGTTTTCCATAGCTTCGACGTTCAAACGTTCCAACTTACACTAAATAAATTCATTTACCTAATATAAAATTTTATCAGCTGCATCACTTGCACTATGGATCACGGAGCAAAACTAACTGCTGAACTTAAAAATCTTAGTTTGAATAGTAAGGTAAATTAAAAATTAAAACTGGTGAGCAAAATGATTGACAATGGTATTTCCGAACAGATACGACCTTCAAGAAAAGAACATATTCCTTTTTAAAAGGCTGGCAACGCACCTATGACTCCTCTGGTGTTGCGGGTGTCCATGGGCGGCGCTGATCGCTTGCCATCAGGTGATCCGTCTGCTCGGTTGTCTCCTATCCCATAAAAAAAAACAATAGATCGAGCCTGACAAAACGCATATTAATAAATAACCCTCCCTTCCGAAATCATGATGCCTGGAAAGGAGTACCACCACTCCTTAGATTTTCCTTTTACTCTTACTTACTACTTTTTTTTGAGTATTTATAAATATTGTGGCAAAATAAACGATCTATAATTTGATCATGACAATAAAAAATAGTAGAATACTGAGGACCTATTTATATAGCATTATATACTATTATTTCATATAGCAAGGGTACTTGCCGAAATATGCAGAAAAAATATCAATGTTATTGTTACTCAATTGATATTCTGAAAGTTCTTGATCCGTTTTTAACAAGTAGCGCCACCTGTTATTACATATCGTACTAAATCTTTAAGTCAAGGATACACTAGCGTAGTGTTGTTCTGTTAATCTAGTTTTCCTCCTTTTATTTAAGTTATCTGTAAATGATATGTGTATGTATTATGGCATATTCTTATTACTTTTATTGCTTAACTGTTTCAGTAATCCCAATTCCTTAATTTTTGACCATAAACACTAATAAGGCTTTTGACCTTATCAGTACTTGACAAATCATAAAAATAATCTTAGAGTTGTTTTCTCTCTACTCTCTAGTCTCTGGTAGCAGTAGGTAATGTTTGATCTGTCAAAAAATGTCTTTTTGACGTGATTTGCCGATAAAATTATTTGGATAGTTCATTTTTATAAACATGGGAGGTTCTCAAAGCACTCGAAAAGTTACTGTTGATAATGAAAATGCTATCCAAGTGTCTCAGGAAGCTTTAGACCGGATACAATCTCAGCTCACGGCAAAAGTAAATATGATGTTCCATTACATAATTTTCATCAATGTCATCACTTGTTAGGGCATAATAAAGGAGTGTTGTTGTTATAAAAATCGTAAATAATTAACTTCAGTCCCTGCATCCATCATTATGAATTTCATCATCACAAGTGTGTCATTACTCGATCATTACTTAGCTTATAGGTTATCAGAAGACTGCTTGAAAGTTGGAACATCTGACTGATAGCATTCTCATGTTGACAGATCACAATTCTTTTGAGATAGTCCTCCAAACCTTCTTGTGAGAGAATTTATCACTAGGACAATATCTAATCATGAATTACGTTACATGCCTTTGTTTATGCAAATTTTATTTAATGTTTCAAATAATCCCTGGTTGATAAGTAACATATTTGAATGACCAAGAACTTAAATAATGCAATTTTAAAACATAATATCTAGCCTTTCAATAAAATCAAGTTATACAATCTTAATATAATATCATTCTTTCATTTAAAGTGCTTAGAGTTTAATACATTAGTAAAGTTCATTTATATGAGTAAAAACATCCTTCCAGGAACCATAAATAGTGTCTATTGCCTTAATATTTTAACAACCTAAATTATAAAATTTCAGCAAGCTGAATCAAGACCCCCACCTGTACAATCTTACACACCGCCTGCGTATGAGTACCGACGTCAGCACGAATACGCTGCTGAGGAGGCCTACTGGGCACACCGCATTGAAAACCTAAAGAGGGCACATGAAAAAATAAACAGCGGAATGCATTTGGAATATCAAAAGACAATGAAGGAAGCTACTGAATTATTTAATATGGTTGAAGGAGACAAAGTAGCCTCTAAACTGCCACCCTGCCAAGAGGAGAAGGCTAAGGTATAGTTTACTACTTATGTAATTTTAAGTGTTCATCAGAAATCTGAATTAAAAAGTTTGAATTTACCTAAGAAATGGAATATTGTAGTAAGTGATTAGATAAGGTTGATAATAAAATTGGTTTGAGACTTAAAATGCATGTTTCCAGTAGTAATCTTGATTTTGACAGTTCCTACATAGGTACCTACTTAACTATCACGCCTGCAGCTGTAGCCAAATGCCATTTAGCGATTGTCTACTTGTAGAATAGAAAACCAAATTTTAAGGAATTGACGCTTGTCGCTTGTCTTCTTGATTTCTACTCTCTCTGTAGACAAGCCCTAAAGTGGCGTTTGGCTAAAGGCACTGTTTTCCTTATTTAGGTAGGCTGAGACTATGGAACCCTAATTGCTATGCAATCGAATTTAAAAGTTCATATAAATATAATCTACACAACATAATGTCACTTTTTAAATTGAAAAGGGGTGGGCAAAGATAGTGAGAGCTCTCCAAGTCCTTAATTTCACAATAAAGAAAATTCAAACAACTCTGTTTTAAGGAATTATACAAAAATCATTCCACCTTATTATGTACCAGTAAAACCAGCAAGTTTATAATTATTTACTTCTATATTATATGTTGTATTGTAGTTTTATTTTGTCCTCTCTTGTTTCCAAGTAATGTGCATCATACTTAAAATTTTATCTTTAATTTCAGGTTCTCCAGTGCTACAGTACAAATCCAAACAAATCACTTCTGTGTTCAGTGTTAGTGAATGAATTCAATGACTGTGTGTGCAAGAGCAGAGTTGCAGCCGTGACGGCCACATCTTAACAGCCATACTTATGTAAATAATCATTATAGTAAATGTTTCTGTCGACACCAAGCAATACAGACCTCAAAGGTTGCATTCGGCCGTGGAGTAGTTTTAATATTAATGCTGTATCAATAAACTGTTATTAATTTATATTCGATTTATTTCTTTCTGAATCTAATTTTGAATTTTAATTCTTTCTATGAATGATTTTGAGATTTTTTCCTTTAATGTAATAAAATTTTTACTTATTTATTTGAGCATTTAATGTTATTCATGAGGCCTGTTCAAATAAAAATTAAAGTTTTCTTTATTTATATCTTTCAGCTGTCCGTAAATTAGTACCACCTCATCTACTTGTAACTTTTGTTTACCTACTTAATACCTGAATTGCCTTGGTGTAGAAAGTACAATAAATATTAGAGATAGTTAGACATAGATGTAGTAATTTAAATTGTATTAAACCATGTTCCTTGATCATATACGACCTTATCAGAAAATACACGCATATTTACTTAACAACCTCATTGTTTATTTCCAATAGGTAAAATGATCTACTAAATTATTTCCGAACTTATGACTTACTGTCAGAATGCCAAAATATTGACCAAACAGTTATTACCGATGCCTTAGCAATAGTAAATTGTTATTACCTAGCCCTCGCCTCGTCCTGATAATTAATTCCTTCTTAAGGATCGTGAAAATGTCGCGCCAAGTGATAACCCAGAATGTTGAGAAAAAGAGACGTGTTCCTTTGTACCCTGGGTTCCCTGAGCTGGCGCGATCTGATGTCAGCATATACCCTGCCTACTCGAAATTGACCTTGGCATAGTAAGTACCGACAAGAAGTGTTTTGCTATCAAGAAATATAGGCATAGAACTATACACGGATACATACATACATAACTTCACGCCTGTCTCCCATGGGGGTAGGCAGAGACTAAGGAACACCAATTACTACGATTCTTACATACCTTTTTCGCTTCATTAACAATCAACAAATCAATCTTTTCATGCATGCTCGTCGGTTAAGGGTACTTTTAATTACATACATTATCGTCTAGATATTTATTGTGACTAATCTAGCTGTAATGAATTTTCAGTCGAGTTGTTTGCCGCCACCGATATCATTGGGCCAAAATTGCACAACGCAGGCAGTTTATGAAAGAACTGCACAGTTTCGAAAAACTGCAAACAAATGCCCTGGATGGTGTGAGAGTACACAGGGAATTTTCACAAGGAATTCTTTCACACACGATACCCCCGCGTCGGTATGTACAGAAGTTGACTCCTGATCCTTTGACATCACACCAAAGGATGAGAGTAGAAGAAATTATCAGTGGAAGAGTTAACTTCAGTCAGAAATAGAACCAGACCACTTAGAGACAAACCAAATACCATAGTATATCCTAAAATAAAACCACAATGCATTTAACTTAAAGTTGTTTTTATTGTTGACTCAACTGTTTTATTTTTCTTCATTTTTTTACTTTTTTCTACATTTGTTTGTAAATAGTGGGCCTCCTTCTTGGCCTGTGATATTTCAGCTCTCAACCTCTGTTTGAGTGCTGCCCTCTCATATGCAAGTCGTTCACTCAAATGTATCCATTTGAACCTCGGTATGTATTTGATATTCCATATCATGTCATAGTATCGGGACTTTTTTCTTGTGCCAATCTTAGTATTGTTTAGTTTTGTTGCCACCAACTTGGCAATCTTTTTCTTCTGAAACTCCACCCAACCTTCTGTAAATTGATTTGGCACCCGCTTGCGTTTTTCTCCAGGTTCTGTAAAAGATAGGTATAATACAATGAACTGTCTGCATGTCTAGTTTATCACAGGAAATAAGTTCTACAGGTACTTCTAATAGGTAATTAATACCTAATGATGTTGTTTAAAAAATCCAATTATGAAGAACTAAATGATACTGATTGTATTCAAGTTATTACAGAAAGATACATCAAGAAGTTACAGAAACAGCACAAAGACTAAGTCTGGGCAGTTTCTGGTTTAATAAATCACACCACTGAAATTAAAGTTGATGTAATTAATTTGATTTCCCTTCCCATAGATATATATTAGATTTGCTGGAATAGTACAACTAAGACCCAAAGACCATAATAAAGATTACAATAACATAACCTCAAAAACTTACTAGCACTTGGTTGCAGGTATATCCTCCCAACTTCGCCGAATTCACTAAATATTTCACGAATCTTAGCCACATTCATGTAAGGAGGGATAGTAGACAGATATATGATCCCTCGCTTCCTAGTTTTTTTCTTAATCAATGCTTTATTCCCTTTTCCTGAATCTGAAACACTATTAGTAATCGAACCGTCTTGGGAGCTATCTTCCATACCAGACATTTCTATATCCGGCATTTTTACAGCACAGCAGTATTCTTACTTAATTCCAAAATAATATACTAATCAAATTGCAAATCAAAATACAATCACCATGCGTACAACTATACGAGATACAACACGGAAGTGTCAATGTCAATTTACTTTGAATGACAGCCTAACTGATTAACAGCTGATTTTAGTGAAGTGAAAAGTACCTCAAGAGCTTCTGATTGTTCTGAAATGAATAACAAAAAGATGTGTGACACTGACATACAAAAAAGACCAACAATATAAATCATACATATCGAACCATATTTTTACCAATAAATAAAAAAAGGTCTATGATTTTTATTTGCTTCTTTACGTTGCATCTATTTCAAAATTCGAGTTGGCAACACTGAGTGCGTCATCCTGAAAAAGTCAAAACAAATACGTCATTCATTCTGTCATTAATCGCCATCAGTGAGTGATTAGAAAGCCATAATATATTGTTATTATTGTACTAATTTTAAAGATTTCTCAAAATGGGTTGCGATGGTGGTACTATCCCTCGACGAGATGAACTTGTGCGAATGAAGAAGAAGCCAGAACAGGTAAGCGTGTCTATATAATCAACATGTAACGATTTCACAAACATTCACTGTAATTTGTTATTTCTTGTTACACCTTGGCCCTAAGAATATGACCGTTTTTACTTTATATTTACAGAAAGATAAAGATGCAGAACGATCATTCAAGTGGCGTAATTGCGCTTTGTCTCAACAACCTTTACAAGAACCTGTGGTGGCTTGTGGCCTCGGAAGGCTGTACAGCAAGAGTTCTGTGCTTGAGGCGTTGCTAGACAAAGAAACTAAGCCAGACTCCATCAACCACATCAAAAACCTTAAGGTATTTGTCAATATGAACAATAATATGATGTGTTAAACAATACAAAATGTTGGAATGTTATAAGCCAAAGTCAATTTCAATTCGACCAGGGTGTCAATTTCAATCCAATAAAATCTCGATAATTATTCAATCAAACCCCAATCGTAGCTGTTGAAATAGCACTCAGAGTACAGAATATAAACCCAAACTCAATACTGTATAGTTCATTGAATATTCACGCAATACGGATGCAATGAGCTCTAGTATCGCAACTCTCAAAAGTACAAAACATAAATGTTGATAGATTGGAATTGGATTCAAGAGTAACCCACCAGGCAGGCACTTTTGAACAAAAAATAATGAAAAAATTATGTATTTATGTATTTGATGGGCCGATGTTTGACCACCTTCTCGCCTGGTGCTAAGTGATGATGCGGTCTATGATAGCTATTTGCCTGTTCCAAAGTGAAGATTCCTATAGATTATTTTCTTTTATGAAAGCTCTTTCATTGTAGTGTGCTTTTCAGTACATTTAAAATTTATTAGTTTGAAAAGTTCTTTATAACTACTATATACATTTTCAGGACATCAAAGACTTGAAATTGGTGAAAAACCCTGCATACACAGCAGCTGATCACACTGAGGGTGCAGTGGGTGAAGGCAACGCCCCCTACATCTGCCCCATCAGTGGACTGGAGATGTCTGGCAAATTCCGTTTTGTGTTCCTCTGGAGCTGTGGCTGTGTCCTCGCTGAAAGGGCACTCAAAGAAGTTAGACAGAATCTCTGTCACATGGTAAGTTTCAAAAGGTTTTACAGTTTAAACTGTCAAACACCGCACGGTCACCGGTGACCGCAATTGTGTCTACCTCTATAATGACGATACTCAAAGAGTTAACTACTAAAGTAAATTGCAACACTTTATTTGTATGCTTAGAATTCTTCTACCTTGTTATCATATCTATCTATATATATATATATATATAAATGAATTTCCATTCATAAGTCTCACTAAAACTGGAGACCAGCTAAACCAGTTTGGCTAATTTTGGTATTGAAATATTAGTGGAAGTCCAGGAAAGGTATAATTTGGTGAGAAAAAAAAAATTGAGGCAGTACAAAATTTTCCGGGTCAGCTAGTATATTATTACTTTCAGATCTTACATAATTCCCCAAAGATTACCAAAGCTCCAGATAAACAATCTGTGAATTTGGGATTGTCATATTCCACTGTGTGCAGTGACCTTTTACTACTATGTTATCTCTCACAACTTGTATACTACCTGTTTGCTATCATTGACCGTTACTATTTCATGATTGATTTATTAGTGTCTGAGGTCATGTTGCTCATGGTGGCCTACATCAACTCACAATCTATATTAAATTAGGCTACTACGCAGCTACTGATAAACTTGCTCCCATTTCTTAAATTATCAAATACAACATGTCTAATTTATTGCTTTTACATTTGTTCCCAGTGTCAGCAACCATTCACAGATAATGATATAGTACCATTAAATGGAACTGATGAGGATATAGAAAAACTGAAGGAAAAAATGACTGTGCGAGTTGCTAGCAGAAAAAGTAGTAAGAAATCAAAGGCAGAAAAAACAGCAAAGGCTGAAGTTAAGATAGAGCCTCTGACTCCCAGGCCATCCACCTCTACTGAAGTTTCCACAGATGTACAACCAGAGAATGATGTAAATGTTAAAAGTGAAGCAGAGCCTGAACCCGGCTCGAGTAATGCAGTGAAGAAGGAAATTGAAACAATACCATTGTCTCTACCCAAGTACAATCCTAACAAGCAGGCGAGAGGACATTTCGGATCTTCAAAGCGCGTCCACCCCACAGAACTGGCCCAGGACCCATCATACAAGAAGACAAAGAAAGATTACAGTGTAGCTAAAGATCCTCAAACCAGTGAAGTGTACAAATCATTGTTTACTTCACATAAAACTGATAAGAATCAGCAGAGGGCCCACTGGGTCACATATAATCCTTTCTACAATTAATATTACATAATTAAATTCAATGACTGCCTCATTGGCCGAGTGGTTGCAAGTACGACTGCCGGGCAAGGGGTCTCGGGTTCGATTCCCAGGTCGGGCAAAGTATTACTAGGTTTTTAAAAAAAAATCACAGTAGTAAAGTCTGGAATTGTGCCCGGTATATGGCAATAGGCTTACACCCTATTACATGTTATGTATGTTAATTAAATTCATCAGATTCGTCCATAGAACAACACGGATGAAATACGTCAAAAATGCTGAAAAAGTAGTTAATTTATGATGTTGGTCCACTATTGTGGCTATTGCCGCGGATCTGTTATGTCCAACGGATTAATTTAATTGTATAGATTAAGTTTAGGGATGTATATAAATAAAATACAATATCATAATAAGTGTTTTTATTCAATACAAATCGGTAATAAATATTGCACTAAAAATTGCACATCGAGACTAGTCACACAAATCCAATATTACACATTATTAATTTGTGCTTCTGATACACCAACTTACACCTATAGCCAATAAATATTAAATATTATTAAATAATTTAATGTTAAAGATCAAATACCCCTAAAAAATACTGCAAACATGTGTGTATAGGAACAACAAAAACAAAACTACCCTTTGTAAATGTGAAACTGCAAAAAAGAAGTGTTAAGTGATAAAAATATTAAAAGCCCTGAGTCATAAGCTTTTTTAAATTGAGACTATAACAGAGATTAAAATGCTAGTGTTACTCACAGGTCTAATTGGGGCAGTTATTTACCTATTATGTACTCTTTGGTAATAAGACTAAATTCAACTACAAGAAGCACATTCACTAGAGAACATAATATTAAGCCGCAGTGTCCTGTTGTACTGAAGCCAGTGTGGCCTCAATGATGAGGTTGAAGTCCAATTCGTTGAGGCTGGCCTTCGCTGTCAACAAGTCCAGGAATGTGTCCAGTGGAGACAGGCGCTCCCCTGAGGGTAGGGCTGCTATGCCTGAAATATTGAATAGCATAATAATTAATAAACTTTTGAGATTAAAATACGCTTATGTGTACACTTTAGCAGGTACAATAGTTTTATTCGTTTAGATTAAATTAAATACCATACTAATCATACAATCAGAAAATTAAAAAAAAAGCGGTTCATGAGCGCCGCTGTCTTTATTCGGTAGTGACGATAAGGTACCCAAAGTTTACGCCATCCACAGCTCAACACGTTGTGT